AATGCTCCCTGGAGACGCTCTGGGGAGTTTTAGCAAGTCAGCACACGACAACAGCACTATCAGCAGACTACAGAGCTCCCCGAGCAGTGTATTTATGTAATGTCATTAGTGCAAGTCATACAGCTGCTTCTTAAGAAGCGTAAGGTATAAACTACTTACTAGCCAGACAAGGAAAGACGGAAAAGCTTACCCGTATACTCTCAAACTGTCCTGCCACATGATTTTCTTCACTTACCTCCAGAGCACCTTACCATCGGCCTCCCAAGGCTGAAGTTACGCAGCAGAGTATCTGAATATCACCATCCTCCCAGTGCTGTGCAGGTCCATCATGTTAGCTCAGGCAGTCTTAACTATTGTCTGCTAATAATTATCATCATCACCGTGCAGTTTACCAGAATTTGATTAACGCTTTAATACAGCTACTGTTCGTGCCTGAACAAGATCAAGCACATTAAAAACAAAACAACAAAAGCCTCCCGCCTTCCCCATGATCACCCATGGTTCCAAACTTTAACACACTTTAGCCCGTTGCCATCACACCTCTTTCTTGCTACACTAATTCCCGGTCTTATTTCAGAGTTAAGTCCAGACACGCTTTCCAAATTCTCACCGCTGGCGTTATTACTGCACCAAAGACTTTCAATTCCATTACATGTTTCCTTTAAACATTTCCTGCCTTCTTCCTGGTCTATCCGAGCGCTTTGCTACGCAGCACTGTGGATCTGCTCCTGGGCACGCGTGATGTACACAGCATTTGCCCACACAGCACTCCCTGGGCTTAGGCCCCACGCACAGGACGAACTCCAAGGAAAAGCTTCCCAGTGGTCTGTCCCGCTCCAGAACCAGGCCCAAGATGACTGACTGTTCGCTGCCACACAACCTGGCAGCTTCTGATGCCATTTCTGAATTCTCTGGTATCTGGAGGGCTCTCCTATTTAAAAACAAGGAGCTGACAGACAACCCATCTTATCAGCAAGGTTAAAAGTGCTCCCTGGCACTTTGTATTAATTCACATCATTAAACCAAGGTAGCCACAGGAAAGGCCACCTAGTTCTTAACACCTCCAGACTATACACACAAACTGAGATTATTTAAAAATAAATCAAATTTTCATTGGGTTTTCCCAGCATCTGTAGCTATAGCTTTGTAGTTCTGTAACTACTTTGCCTTAAGAGAATTTCCATAAAGGAAGGACACATTGCAATACTGCGGGGATTGTACTTTGCAGAGAGAAGTGCAATTATGTGTCAGAAAACACATGAAAAGTTATCTAATAAAGTGTTACTGTGACTTGAAAACGCAAGGAAGAACCTTAAGCAGGCATGTGTATTGTTTTAACAGACAATGAGATTACAACAATCCTTGTCCCAGAGGTGCATGGAGTATGAAAGGGAGCTTTTTAATCAGCAAGGGAATCACAACCAGCTCCAAGGGCAGGGCTGCAGACACCAAGGAAAAAAATTCCTTGTGTTCAGATCTCATCATGCCTTTCTAGCACCTGGACAAGCATTGCCGCTAATAGTTGACAAGCTCCCTTTCAGGGTGGTATTTCACATGAACTGTTTAAGCCTTTTGTAATTGTCTGCTCTCTTCTGTTTTGGCTCTCCAAAATTTCCTGGAAAGTTTTTCAAATTCTGCCCTTATTGATTATTTCACATCATCTGACCTTGTCATGGCTAAACTTTAAGAATCAATAAATCCTATCCCACTGTACTTGCAAAAAGCAACAAGGCACAGTTTTAAATCATTGAATATTGACTCATTTTATTAGTCACTTCATAATTTGTTTCAACCAAAAGACAATACACACAGCAGAAGTCTAATGCATCCCATGTAAATGTTTACATCCGTTATGCTCCTCACTCACCTAAGACTCAGCATTTATTTAAATTTTTCACATCTCAAAAATAGGTCTGCAGAAGTTTGAATGCCACCAGGCTCCCTGCTCAAATGGCATGATTTTACTTTAAATTTGGTTGGGTTTGTTGGGGTTTTGTTTTGGGTTTGGGATTTTTTTTTGTTTCTTTGTTTTGTTTTTTTTTACTATACTGTCAAAGAGGTGGGAGGGGGATCTATGTAAAATGTAAATTACAACATCAGGAAAGAAAAAGGAATATACAGGAATAGAGTGAAAGTTCAGAGGGAAGCAGTCCAGTAGCTCCTTCCCTCACAGCCCCCAAGTAGAAAATGAACACATAGAAAGCGCACCAGCAGATCTAAAAAAAAGCCATCTTTGCTGCTCCATCTTGCAGCTAGTACCAGCCTTGGGGAAGGCACTAAGTCACCTTTCCCAGCTGTTTCAGCATCTTCTGAGTTATATATCCAAGGTACTGTATAGGTGGCAGTCCCCTCACTGCTATTGCTTCAAAAGGTTGTTCAAGGCCATATTTTGTCCCATCAAAACCTGGACAAAGTCGAATCTTAGGACCTTCCCATGTCTTCTCCCCCTTCAGGCCCATTATGGCCACTATTCTTTCTGTCATTTTCAGACTCAAAATACATTCACTTGAAAAAAAAAAAAAGACATTCGATCTCTCTCAGCTCCAAAGTCTCCAATGCAGATATTAGTAAGATTAGCCATGAAGTCTGTATCTTGCTCTTTTTATATTCCCCTTACACTGAAGCAGGAAGATGTTGACCAAACCTGTAAGAATTGTTGCATTCAACTGGTGGAAAAAAAGACTCATCCTATCCTCAGAGTGCCTCAGATGTGGACATGCGGGTACTCTCCAGTGAGAAAACAAAGCAGCAGCACAGAGCTTAAGAGATGTACTTAGGGGTCAAGGAGCAAGCAATGCTATCTAGTACTGCAGATATGGGAAAATGTGAAACCTGGCCTCCCTTCTGGCATGATGTTAGTACCCCATCCCTTAGCAAGGGGAAAGGAAAGAGCTCCAAGGACAACAGGAATGTTCAGCTGCTACAAAGGAGTACTTCATAGCCAAGGGATGACTTCAAGCAAAATGCATTTCAGGTACATGCACCACCTCCTTCAGCTCAACTCGGAAACACATGACAAAGCGCCCGTTTTCCAAACCACAAACACTCTGTGCAAGGGTGGTTGAAGGAGCCAAGAACATAGTAGGAATCAACCCTACATGCTTACCAGACAGAGACCAACAACAAAACCCAGCTGCTCTAGGGGACAGAAAACAAGTGCAACAAGAGGGACGAAATAAGCTGTTCCCAACTATGCTGCAACAAACAGGCCAGGTGAGAGACCATTTACTTCTTTCTCCCTATCTAATCTCCTGCACCAGTGCTCTTTCTCAGCAAAAACAAATGGAGATTGAGGTATGCCAGCTTTCAGTACAAGTGACCATGTACAATTCTGTGAGGAGAATGGGAGAGCTTATAGGGCATTCAGGAACTAAGGCAAAGACTTTCCATTAGCTTCGTATCTGTAACGCCCTCAGAGCTTACTGGAGTCTAGATTTAACATGCTCAGCCTTCAACACTAAGGAGCTTGAGCTAGTGGGGTGGTGAATAGTCACAACTGCAGTGAAAGCAACAAAGGTAAATACCCAGCACCTACAAATGGACTTCGATTCAGCCACTTTCTGCAAGACTGCCTGCTTCACGATGCTTCTAGCTGAAGCACAGTATCTATCTCACCACTGATAGCCAAGGCATGACCCTGCCACAACCCAGAATTTCTTTTTAGGAAATCATACATCATTCTTCTAGATTTTATAACTCCATGCTGATGCCAGTTCCAGTAGAATAATAAAGCTCTTTGCTAATCCAAAGGCCCAAACTTGTTTAATCAATAAGGCAGCAAAAATGCCCTCCAAAAGAAGCTAATTTATTCCACTACACAGACCAGCACTTAAGTCAGTGACAGTCAGTCCTACGTTATATTACTTAATGCAGTTAAAACCAAAGCAGACTGAACAACCTTTAGTGGCCTTCTGATCCCGACTCAAGGGCAGAATAGGTCTTCAGTTTTCCCCAAGTACACTGCACCACTCTTGCAGTGTTTTTGGCAAGAACTGGAGCCTAGTGTTAGCACTTTTGCAGACGCAAAAAGCTGTGTCTCAGCTTGCCATCAGAGCACTGAATGATCACTATCTGGAAAGCCCTATAACAGAAATAAAGCAGATGTGCCATCCCTTTCTTTTGAGAAAGCACTGGGTTGGAAGCTGGAGTACCTTCACCTTACCAGCACATTCATGGATGAAGATCTAAGAGATATCCTCCCCTCTCCCTCCCTGAAGAGTGCTGAACATCTGAATAGTTTTGTCACACTGTGCTTTATGTCCTATATATCGCCTCCATGAGAATTCACGGAACTCTACTACCTCGACAACAGTTCACACTTGGAAGCATAACTGAACACAGCCTTCTGTAAGCTTTGAAGAGTACTGGACCTCACATCTTTGGATCCAAATACTCAAACGACTGGCTTCTATTCAAAAAAACAGTTTAGTTACTTTCAGACTGAACCTGAACTACCACATTTCTCTGAAAGGGGAGCAAAGAGCAAACTACAAGGATCAATTAAGTAACAAAATGGGAAAAGGTCTCTTTAAACCGCATGGTCTTTATTTCAGTGCCAATATTACAGATACAACACAAATATCCCAGTCAGAAGTAACTCAAACAGAATTCAGGGGGTCTACAACAGGCTCTGGAAATTAAATTGGGGAGAAAGTCTGGAATAACTGGGAAGAGCAACTTTGCAGCATAGTCTCTGAGTCTCCCAGCAGGAACAGAGCCCTCAAAGACTGATCTACAAAATTGAATATGTCTTTTCTACCCATAAACCACAACTAATGGGTTAAAAGGCTTTGAAACTGTCTGTGGTAGAAAACCAGCTGCTCCTTGGATCTCTACATCTGTCATACTTCACCACACTTTCTGGGGAAGGTACAGAAGACTGCCTGTGAATCTGCATGGCTGTAGCTATTGATGGAAAGAAAGAAAAATCAAGTGTAAGGTCTTCATTTCCAAGTACAGCACCAAAGCAATTTTATCAACTCTCACCCAGCACCTCTCTTCCTGCACTGTCCCAGGTTTGCAGATGAACTCCCAAGGCCTAACTTGCTCTTGGTATGTACCACATAACTAAGAGGTGGGTGTATACAATAATGCATTGAATAGGCCGTAAGAAGCCTCCAGCCCCTTCAGACATAGGGGATACAAGAAGAAAGAGGCAGGGCAGCCTGACATTCCCCAAGTCCCCAGTCTGAGCCCCATATGAAAGTACCTGAAGGAATCCAGCTTGTAATGAATGACAACACGCCTTGCCCACACCAGGGGAAAAAGACAGCAGAAAGAAGGGGCAGCTGTTCACTTGCTGCAGAGAGAAGAAAGTTTCCCTGCTAGAAATTCCAGACTTCTCTTCCAACCAGGCTGTTTCTTTGCGGGGGGGCGGAGGGGGAGGGGAGGGGAGAAGGGAATGTTGCTTCCGGCTGTGAACGCATGTGTGAGGGAGTGCACAAGCTGCCAGCCTCATCAGCGGAGGAGAGGAGATTAGTCTTAACAGATATGCTTCAAAGTCAGCAATCACTTCAGGAAAATTCCTCCTCATCAGCAGGTCTCATTTGTTCCCCATGCCCATGGTGCAGTTTGGGGGATTGCCAAGGATCACAACCTTCTTCCCAGAGTTCTTTTGATTGGGTGGGGTGAGAATAAGAATGGTGCCAGAGCCTCACTGCCAAGACTGAGGGGGGAAGTTGTTGACTTCTGCTAGATCCTGCATTGCTGAGCCCTTGTGATTATATGTCAACTTGATCCGCATACGTAGTTGTTGCTACAAGAGAAAAGGTGGGGGGAACAAACACAAAACAAATTCAGGTCTTCAGTAAAGGTCAGCGAATCCCCCCATGTCCAGCTCCCCTCCCTTACCCCATGAATACAAAACACAGACCTTTCCTCACCACAAGAGCTTGCTGGAAGGATGTGCAGGGTAAGCTATGACACTGCAGATAAATGCTTAATCTGGTAGGACATTGATTGGTCACTGTAGTTCTCAGACCAGGTACAAGCTCTCAGAAAAGCTATAGCACAGCTTCTACCCACATCTCTCTCTGCACTGGCCCTGCTCTCACAAGCACTGAAGTCCTTAAATACAAAAATAACTGCCTTAAAATCCCAGTTAACAATGGAAGAAAGCAGGAGGCAGATCTGGACTCTGCTGCTCTGCACTTAGGCTCGCAGGGAGAGGTGTCATTTCCCATCTAGCTGTGCACTCAAAGCAGCAGTATGGAAACTTCAAGTATTGCATAGCTCAGTAGCACTATGAAGGAAATAGCCTAAGAAAGACTGGAAACATTCTCTAGGAACATTTCCTCCTGCTATGAGTAAATGATGGAATAGTTCAGTTGTTTTACACTCTGTCATTTGGCTGTCATCCAGATACTAGGTGGCCCTTAATAATAGCTAGAGCACAGCATGTTCCAGCCAGGTTCCCTATTCTCCTCACTCTCAAAAAAACTTGCTTCCCAAAAATCCTAAAAGGAAAAGCAAGAAGTTGACTATTTCTGGCTCTTTTGCCCGTACCTACAGCAAAATATGCAAAAATGGATAGCAGAGGGAGAAAAGGAGGACAATGACTGCGCCAACCAGCCTCAGGATAAAGAAGTGATGCTTTATCACTAATAGATCAATATAATCAGTGTCAGTTTTTGCTATATTTGGTGTTGTTTTGGGAAACTGGCCATCAGTTTCAATCCAGCATAATGACAGTCCATGTCCAGGTGAACAGGCTTTTTTTTTACAACACTGTCAAGACAAACAGCTACCTCCTAAATAGCAAGGCTGTTCCAAAGTTGCCTCCCTCAGAGCATTCCAGGTAACTACACTATCTCATGGACAGGGTTCTTGCAAAGCTGTACTTTCAGGCAGTAGCAATCGAAAGGACAGTAAGAGATACACAAATGCCTGAGGTGGAAGAGTTAGAAAACAGTGGGCAAGAGAAGAGGGTAGTAAAATACTATTTTGCACCTCTGTATTCTGAACTCATAGGAGTTCTGGTCCAACAAGAAAGCATCCCACTATCTGGGTGTATTTCACTTTATGGAGCCCATCTGAGGTGGATATATTACAACTTCTGGCACCTTACAGAAAAACTCCTAAACCCTCCCAAGTTCAGAAAATAACTTTCAAGGTGATCTTTGAAAGGTGCTCTAGCACCACAGAGAAATTCATATCAGATGTATACAAGACAAAGAGAATAATTAGTCTTCTGCCTTAATACAGGCAGAGGGGAGCATACTACACAGAGATAAGGGAAGATGCATGGAAACCACAAAAACTATGCACTAGAAGACACCCATCTCAGTGAGATCTTGGGCTGAGATTTGAGAATTTTTCTAATTTGCACATCAGTCGAGCAGCAACACTTAACATCTAGAGCAGTACATAAGTGTTAACCTATGAAAAACCTTAAGATGGTTTAAGTTCTTAAAGATGTTTAAGATCTTGAGGGTGTCCCACAAAGGAAGAAATACACGATCTCAATTTTATTTTAGTTTCTGATGCCATCTGAATACTTGCAAAGCCTCTTAAGGAGGACATGTGGGCCACACCCCTCCTTCCCCTCAAGTTTGTTGTATATCCCAGTCTTGAAGCCTGTCTCTGAAGGTTGTAAAAAAAAAAAGGAATTATTAAATCACACCTAAAGATTCTTTCCATTAACTGTTTAAAACTACGCTCATCACATTAAAAAACAAGTGACACCACTTGAGAAAACAGACGATTTTTTTTTTTAAGATTATGGATCAAGCCATTTTTTGTGTAACAAATATTTCAAGTAACACTGCTGCAGATAGCAAGAATGAATGTTAAATATATGACAAGATGCTTGCCTTTCAGACATCACTTTTACAAAACATACTAACACCAGCTTGAGCTCCTCTAGAAAGGCCATCTAAAAACTTGTTTAACAACCACCCTGATGCAAAAGACATTAATGAATTCAAGAAGATAGCAAAGCTGTGAATCTGTTTTAGCAGTATAACCAAATAGAGGGCCAAACCTGTGCCCAAGACCTCCTGTCTTTTTCATAACTTTTTCCTAACCCTAATCAAAATAACTGTCATTAAAAACACATCATTCACGACCATCACTCCCTATCTCTCATCAGAGATGCATCCCTAACCGACTGCCACTAAATGCACGATTCCAAGACAATATCTTTAATAACCTGTTCTCGGAATTACTCACCTTTTGTGGATTCAGGACTTTAATGACCTGTGTGATGGTCCCCGAGTTAAATGCAGGGATGACGCTGCTGCTGGGAGACAGGAGCTGCAGCTGGAATGTCTGAAGAAAGCGCAAAGAGAAAACAATTTGATGCTTAACAGAAAGTGATCTGTTTGCACTGAGAGAAAGCAAGGAAAATTAAGAGTTCAGTTCCTGGCCCTGACAGATCTCAATTTTATTTTAGTTTCTGATGCCATCTGAATACTTGCAAAGCCTCTTAAGGAGGACATGTGGGCCACACCCCTCCTTCCCCTCAAGTTTGTTGTATATCCCAGTCTTGAAGCCTGTCTCTGAAGGTTGTAAAAAAAAAAAAGGAATTATTAAATCACACCTAAAGATTCTTTCCATTAACTGTTTAAAACTACGCTCATCACATTAAAAAACAAGTGACACCACTTGAGAAAACAGACGATTTTTTTTTTTAAGATTATGGATCAAGCCATTTTTTGTGTAACAAATATTTCAAGTAACACTGCTGCAGATAGCAAGAATGAATGTTAAATATATGACAAGATGCTTGCCTTTCAGACATCACTTTTACAAAACATACTAACACCAGCTTGAGCTCCTCTAGAAAGGCCATCTAAAAACTTGTTTAACAACCACCCTGATGCAAAAGACATTAATGAATTCAAGAAGATAGCAAAGCTGTGAATCTGTTTTAGCAGTATAACCAAATAGAGGGCCAAACCTGTGCCCAAGACCTCCTGTCTTTTTCATAACTTTTTCCTAACCCTAATCAAAATAACTGTCATTAAAAACACATCATTCACGACCATCACTCCCTATCTCTCATCAGAGATGCATCCCTAACCGACTGCCACTAAATGCACGATTCCTAGACAATATCTTTAATAACCTGTTCTCGGAATTACTCACCTTTTGTGGATTCAGGACTTTAATGACCTGTGTGATGGTCCCCGAGTTAAATGCAGGGATGACGCTGCTGCTGGGAGACAGGAGCTGCAGCTGGAATGTCTGAAGAAAGCGCAAAGAGAAAACAATTTGATGCTTAACAGAAAGTGATCTGTTTGCACTGAGAGAAAGCAAGGAAAATTAAGAGTTCAGTTCCTGGCCCTGACAGTATATGTACAGCCACAATAAAGTCAAATAATCAGTTCTTCAATGCCCTATCTGTAAAGAACGAAGTATTCACTGGCCCACCTGCTTTCTACACAAGTAAGATCCAGGCAGCACAAATACTAGGGGGTGAGGGCTTACTGCAGTGTATCAAGATCAGCAGTGATGCATTGTTTCAAGTGTCACATGCAGAGGAACAGTCAAGACTGCTCAGCACACCTGTAACTTCAGGAGGCCCATTCTTCCCCTAATTCCTTCCTACTGCAGGTATGAAACCTATCTGAATTAAAGTTACGAGCATTAGTAATTCCTAGAAGTGAAACTTCCAGAAATGAATGTATTTTCCCAAACTTGAAGAACATTCCAATCACATCCCGCTTAAATGATCTGCTCTACTATAAACTGGGCAATATCTGTCTCCCATATTTTGTGCTGCAGCTAAGTGCAAGGGGAGACAATTCACTGCTTAAAGGAGGACTGTCACTAATCACCTTGTGGGGACTCAGTTAAACTTTTATAAGCAGCTAATAGCTTCATAAGATTTTTTTTCATGTATTCATAGCTGCAAAGAGCATGATATATTTCTTCGAAACTAAGAATAAAGGGAAAGATTAGTGTCTTCATTTTTTTTTTTACCCAACATTTTTCTGCGTGTGGTTTAGCAACCTTCCCAGAAAGCGGTGATTTTAAAACAAGATTTTATCCAAGCAGAAGTAGTCCAATCTGATAGGAACCGGTGTTCTATCGCATTTATAACATTTACTTTCAGACTAAAAAGAGATGACCAAACTGAGCACTAAGAGAACCTATTAACAGCTCTTAGCCTTGTTTACCATGCTGCAAGTTTCTGTCTACATGAAAGCACCGATCAGGAAGTATTTGCACCTGGCCCTCAACCTATCATTGTAGTTGCCCTAAGTGGCTCTACCTTTGGCACTGCAGCTTGGAAAACAAAATCTGTCATATCCAGCTCTGTGCTGTTGGAGGCCTGTATCGTGATTACAGTGACGCTAGGGTTGGTGTTTGACCTCTCAAAGGTGAAGTCAATCTTCAGCCCATTCTTGTTGTACGCAGTAATTGAGGGGATTCCTGCAGAAAACAAAAAGCAGCAGACCTACAGAATCTGGAGATCATTCTCAACATCATAGAACACACTTACTTTACCCCAGACATGAACTCTTCTGAAGATTAAACACACCCCTCCTGCTCCAGTGTCTGTGCCACACTTCACTCCCAAATCCCCCCTTTTTTTACTACTCTTTGTTTCCTCTTCTAGTTGGGTGCTGTGGCACCTTAGGCTAAGGATTTACGTGTCCCTAACCTGCAGCAATATCATTGAAGAGAGGCTGTGATGAAAGTCCATCAAGCAGGAACGGAGGCTGTGCTATCTGGGGCGCAGGGGCAGATACTGGAGAACCTACAAGAAATGTTGAAGGATTATTACTTAGCTGTCATGAAATGAAGAGTAATTACTCCTTCTTCAAAGATCAACTGCTGTGTATCATATTTCTTTACATGAAGCTCTACAAATCATCTGTGTTGTCATTCTCCCCTTCTCTGCTTTCACTAACAAGGACTGGCTCCTCCTGAGCTAGCAGGCATTCAAATGGAATGAATTCCTCATATCTCCCAATCCTCTCTGGAATGGCTCACAGCATTCCCAGCCTGGGGCGTGAAAATGCTCCAGTCTCATCAGCTAATCATGCAGAGTCAACCTGTGACTTCATTCCCTGACTCCCATCTGTGTGCTAATATGGATCTTGGTAAGAGTAAGTGCGAAGACTAGGATTTGATAGAAAGTGAAGAACTAGCCAGCCCTCATCCCACCCTAGGAACTGAGAATGTAGACTTTTAAGAGATACAGCCTGCTCACCTGTTAGGTTGAGGTCTCCCAGGAGGTCAAGGAGCTCCCCACCAGCAGAGGCTGGCTTGCTTGTAGGTGCAGTGGGGATTACAGGTGTTATATCACTTCCCCCCAACAAGTCCAACAAATCATTTGCCTAATGAGAGAGTGGATGTAGTGGTTAAGTATTCAACTTCCTGCTACTTTCCCTTGCAAATGTAATGGATTCTACTTGCTCTCAGATTGAAGACCAACAGAGCTGCTGGCCAGTCAGAGAGGTTCTTGGTTTGGCTATGGTCCCATGCCCCATGAGAGATCTAGTTTCCATGCTCTTGGGAGCACAGAGATAGAGAAGGATGGAGTTTGTGCACACTGAGACAGGTTGGGGGATATATGGCTTTACCCCACCCTGCTCTTGCACTCCCCACAATGACCTCTTCCACACACCTGTTCTTGACACTAGAGCCATCAGAGTAGAGAGATGATGCAATCATCACCAGGCCAGAACTAGCAAAGAGGCAGAGAGGGGGAGGAAGATGGTCTCAGCTTACTGTTGGCAGTGGCTAGTAGTGTGGTCTGACAGGCAGTGGAAACTTATTCTAGATCAGTTTTCATTACCTGGCTAGCAGGCTGCAATCCAGAGGGTGGAGGTTTGGTTTCCAGTACCGCTGGCTCTGTCTCTCCGTTGGTCTGTACAATCTCAGTAGGGCCATTTGTGGTGATTTTCTCCATTACTGGCATTCTCTCAAGCAGGGCTGGCCTGAAAGAAGCTGACATAGTTACACTGTGCCATCTTCCTGGATCCCAATCCAAATACTCAGACATTCAGGAGATGCTATACACAGGGCAACCTGCCTTTTCCTTTTAGCTCCAATGCAGGGGAACTGTAAGACTGCATGACAGCTTGAGGTAGTCAGAAGCAATCCCTGGCATTCTGTGCCAGTGTAAATACATTAGTTGACAGCTGAAGGCCAAACAAGCCCTCCTGCCTCCTGTTTTCCCCTAGTACTTGACACAGTTTCCACTGTGGGGCTAAGATAACAAACCTGAGACAAAAGATTAAATAATTGAGCAATGGTGGATTAACTGCAGACATGGGACACTTGACTGCTCTGTTCCATATGCAGCTGAGCCAGAGAGTCAGCTCATTTGACTTCTCTTTGCAGAAGGGTTAACATCTTAGAACAGGTGACAAAGTTGGAAAAGCAAATCACCATGCCCTCATTCAGCCAAATTAAATTTCCAAAGAGATTAAGTTCAGCCCTTGAGAGTACCCTCCTGAAATGATACAGAGACTGAAGAAGAGGCATGGGATCCAGAATCCTGTGACATCAAAACAAAAAACCCTAGGAAAACCTGTATAGAGAGAACTAGTCTGTAATACAAGAAAGGCCATTACCCTTGCAGATCAAGCCATAAAGTGCTGCATGTAATAGGGGTAAGCCACACTGTCTACACATCTTCTGGGCTGAAAAAGTGTTCCAGTGTCAATAAACCCAACAATGGGCCACACTTTTGACCATGAACAAAGTCTTAATGAGCAGAAACTATTAAAATGTTGACCTTTACACTGTAATGAACACCAGAATATACGGGGGGCGGGCGGAAAATACAGATGCTCTCTTGTAAAACTGAATGAAGTTCACATATGTTTTTCTGAAGTGCAATGCTTCCCAAAACTATGAATAGCATACACTGCCATCTGATCAAAAGCCAGCTAATCGCCAGACACTGTTGTCTGCAGTGGTCAACTCAGATCAAAAGCCTCTCATGCTAGATTTTTCTCAACTCATTCATAAGGCTTCATGTGAAACCCTAGGCAGCTCACATACCCTAGCTCATTAACATGACTTTTCCAAGAACAATTTTGAGTTGCTGCATGGATCCCACGTGAGGAAAGAAAAGAGGAAATTACAAAGATGTTATGTCCTACAAATAGCTAATAGGATGGTACCTATGGAAAAAACTGATTGTAAGAGCCTTTGAAACAAGGTTTGGAGGCCCTTACAAACACAGGCCATATTTAGTCCAGTGGCACCCATTTCCTCTCTGTCCTCTCATCTAGACTTTAAAATGGATGCTCCTCCATCCAATGGAATCTTATGGAAAGTTTTCAAGGGTGGATGAAATTAATCCCCAGAAGATCTCCTCCAATCCTATGATCCTCACTGAACAGAATCTGTGGTGCTCCTATGTATCAACAATTAACTAATGTACATAGCAGATTAATGACTATTCTGCAAAGAATGACAGCTTTATTTACTGCAACAATGCAGGGTTTTAACTTTCTCATAAAGAAACAATCACTTGAGCAAAGCAATGATGAATGGGGACCTCTCAATGATAAGGTGTAAGGAGGTTAACATGCTCACAAACTGTAAAACAGGATGCCGAGTGGTGCAGTGAAATAGTATGCCTTTGCACGCAGAATTTGAGATTTTAAACAGAGTCTACGAGAAGATACAGTAAATTAAAAAGATGTTCTGAAAAACTGAAAAGTATAACAGTTGGAAAAATTACCTCAAGTTCAGAGCACAGCTTAGGAGGACAGGTCAATAGATCTCTGCATGTTTATTCCAAAGACATTTTAAAATCAGTTTGAACCTAATGACTGTGGCAACGCTAGCATGGTAAAAGCTACCTGCAGACACTTCTCAGCTAGCAAATTTAAGATTCAACACCTAGAAGTAAAAATTAGTCAAGTTCAAGCTCAAAGCAGGGCAAATTTTTTGGCAGAGAAAGTCTCTGATCACAGAACAATCTCCCAGGATACACTGAGTTCTTAAAACACTCACCCTACAAATGAGGAAGGGATTCTAGTTCCTCTGTAATCCTACCAAAATCACCAAAGCTCTCAAAGCACACAGTGTGGTACAGAGGAGATCAGAATAGATTATAATGATCCTTTTCAAACACCAAAACTCATCAGCACTTACCTCATGTGATCATATTTCTTGAAAAGTGCATTATATTCCACTGCCCTCTGCTGTAGCTCCACATCAATGCTGCTGCCATAAATGGAAACTACCTTCTTAATGCGACTGTGTGGGCAGGGGGGAAACAAAAAACAAAACAAAACAACCAAACTCACACACCATGGAATTAACAGCAATAAGCAAGGGATTAGCATGTGTCATCCAGAAGACACTATCTGGCCTCTGCTCAACAGGTGTCCTGTGTAATTAATTTAAAACAGTAATCACTGCTGTTTTCCTGGAGTATCTATGCAACATCCATTTTTGAACTGTCCCTTTACAACAGCATCAGCAGGTGATTAATATACCACCATGAGGTATATCATAAGAAAGCTCAGCTACCCACACGAAGAAGCCATCAGTAGGAAACAAGACTATTTTTCTCTCCATCATCCAAAAAAGGAACTGGAAAGAACAGCCCACTGAAAGTAAGGACTTATCTTTCCCATAAAGGAATTTTCAAGCACAGCACCATCGATTAAGTCCCTACACAGTAGAGGACATCCACAGGGAAAACAGTACAAATTAGTGGAAGTCTTCCACCCTGCAAGCAAAGGAGGACTGTAAAAGCCAACAAATAACAAGGCAACTCTTGTAAACCACAGAAGCAGAACATGTCCAAGGAATACTTCTACTGAAGATAACTGATGCCAGCTTATTTGCAACAAAGCCCTGTGCAGTACAACATCAATGAGAACTCACTTGACAGTGCAGGTGAACCTTGTGGAAAGCTTCATGATGGCAGTGAGAGCATAGCCTCGTGTAACAGATGCAGACATATTAGATATCAGGACGCTTTCTAAAATATCAAGAACTTCATCCTCTGTTACCTGAAAAGGTACAGAAAGGTTAGGCTGAGGCAGAGAGAAGCTTTGCAGCAAGCCTTCCAGGGCATACTGTAAAAACCTGTCTCTTGCTTAATGGCCACGTTGTACTTCCTCCGCAACTTTGTGAGCCTGTAGCATATCTTCAGAGTGTATAAGACAGATGCATCTAGGTGAAGATCTTATGATACTAGTTTTAAAATACAGTTCCTGTTCCACACATTGAAGAGCAGGTTTATCACCAAAATACACAGCTAAGCTAGGTTAGCACTGAAACCACACAGCTCTGCCAATTGTAGCTGCAGTCCTCACAGTGGGTGTTTATGCTGCCCATGCCTGTAGCATGGGGAGAAGATTCCTGTCCAGGGTCCATCACCATCATGGACACCAGTGCTAAGTAACCAGTGCAAGCATTGCCCTCACATAGCCAGCATCAAGCAGCGCCAGCCTCAGCCAGGTACACAGTTGTTGTTCTTTCCCAAGCTATACCTGTATAGGTTCCTCCTCTTCACACTGACCAGACACCAGAAGATCTCCGTACTCTCCTATGCACCAAGAAGCCACTTGCACCAGGGGCTGCTGTCAGAATAAGAAAAATCAGATGCCTCAGAGATAAATTGATGCCTGTATGACAAATTAAACCATCACCATTTCCCAGAGCAAGTTTAGCCCTCCTTCCAGCCAAGGAAGTTCTCCACAGCAGAAGAAACAGGAATATTTGATTCGATCAAGAATTCCGTAAGAGAATTAGAGAAAATAAAAAGAACATGAACTTATAGAAGACATGTGATCTGTCCCTTGGAGCTAGGCAGTGTGATGTTGGCTTACCTTGAGATGCTTAGTAAACATGCTTATTGCAGTACAACAAGGAAACTGAAGGTGGCTGGTCACATTTGGTATTACCTGGGAGTAATCACCAAGGATGGCTTTGTAGAGTCTCTGCACAGTGTAGGCATGCATCTCCACACTATTAGTTATTAGCTGAATCAGATTTGGAACAGCATCATCACGAACGTAACTTCCTGCCTGCAAGAACAATTGTGTATTCGAGAGACAAATAAAAGCTGTTAGGTTTCACTATCCGACTTCTCAGTAACACCCAGCATCTGCTGATATCCTTCACAAAGCCACCCAATGTGCATGGAAATAAAAATCAACTTCCTCATCCCCAAGCACTTTATGGTTGATTTTGAGCAGGCTCAGATGGGTAGAAGTTCAGGACAACACATTTTCCCAATGAACTCAGCTATACCCAGAGAAATCCATACTATAGATATCCTGAAATTGTCAAGAGGATAGAGTGTGGACGTAAGAAGCCTGTGCTACAGAAGGAACAAACAGCAACACAGAAAACCGCTTTGTTAAATGGAAGGCTTTAAGTCAAAGACACCCTGGGGGCAGAACACAGTTTATTCAATCACTCGCTCAAAGCCAGACGCTATGCCAAATAAGCACAGGACCCAGGAACTTGCCTGCATATCACTCTTTGGTTAGAGGATAGGAACACAGAGCTCAGAGAGAAAAGCCCACCTTATGGCCAGGAAAGTATGGGGGGCAACACACAATCACACAGCTTTGGCACTGAAGGGAAGATGTATATTGTTCAAAACCTGTTCTGTTTAGGCACTCCTCTGGCACTGACAGCAGAGCATGCAAAAAGAAGGAGCCCAATTAGGTCAACTAGTGAGAATCCACCTAGCCAAAAGATGGCTGATACCATCTTTCTGTGCTAGTTCTCATAAGTCTGCTAAACTGAAAAGGATGTTTATCTGTAAGAGTCTGCAGTAGGTAGTCTCATGAATACAGCTTTATAAACGGTTTCTCCAGCAGCCAAGAGAAGAAAGTTACTTTATTGAAGGAAGTAATCTGAGAGCAATTCTCACAGCCAACCTTCTAATGGAAATCAATTCTCAGTTCAGAGGAATCTACTTTTCTCTGTTTCAGGGTGGCAAAATAGCACACAAGCCAGACTCGCTTCTTGATGAACTTCTCAAGTTTGAACACTCATACTGATAAAATAAATCTCTTCCCACTCCTTTGCCTCAGGGAACACACTGCCTACCCAAGTTATCAAGACCTCTTCCCTCTGGTTTGCCAAAACACTACTCCAGTTCCACTTCAGCTATGATGTTTATAAATAAATTCATGTAGGAAAAGAGTAATAATTAAACCCAAAGAAGAAGAACTAGAAAGCTGTTGATACAGTTTCATTAAAAAAGCTTTGATAAACCCAACTTGGGATAATTCCAAGAAATTGTTTCACCCCCTTTCTCTTTGCAAGTCACTTAAGGCTGTGTTCACCCTCCCCTGAAAGCACTATATATTGGAATCACAGACAGCACAAGAGCTGTCCTAACTTAGAAGCTAATGTGATTACTGCAGTAGGAAAAAACCTCTGCTACACACTGTATTCTTGTGTGTTTCTGAAACCATAAATTTCTTCTAAAATCCACTCAGTCATATTTACTGAGTTTACATATTTCTGATTGGCTGCCTTGGGTCACTACCATGTAAGTACACTTCCTCTGTGTATTGTAGCATTTGTTAGCTACCAGCCTTTATAGCCATCTCCAACTTGATGATGAGTAACTTCCTACAGAATTAAAAAATTATTATGCAGTCACATACGAGAGAGGCAACCTCACTTACCGTTGTTAAGACTCTCATAATTGTGTCTATGTGCCAGCGTTTGGAAGGAGCATATCTGACAAAATTAAGAAAACAAGTTAGAGCAATAACTGCTAGCCTTCTACACCAGCAAGAAACCCATCATCAGAACCTCCCCATTCACTTACTTCCTGCCTCACTGTTTCCTGAGGGGAGGACACCAACAAAACACACACAAAAAACCCCCACAAAACAAAACACCACACACTTCGCATTCTTTGATTTTTTTGTATTAATGCTGATATCAGCAAGCTGAATGAATATACAAGTCTGTATAATATAGCACAGCCATACCTTGCATATACGATACTTCAAAGTCAGGCTGCTGATTATAATGGCTCAACAGTAATGAGATCATCTCACTTGTACAACTAACCAGAGAGAATGTGTGTGTGTGGAGGGGAGCCAGGGCCAGGATGTCAGCACAATACCTGTTCCAAAGTGCAGCAGAAATCAATATATACGTTTAGTGGTATGAAGTCTATCCATATGGGACACACTAGTGTGTCCCCAAGGCACTAGTGTGTCCTGTTCCTCAGAGTGGGTTAAAACTGACAAACCACACACAGACCAGCAAATGGAAAAGAGATGATCAACATATTCTCTCTTGGGGGATGAGGAACAACATGCAAAATGCTCGTAATTCTGAGGATGTACAAAAAAAAAAAATCAAAGCAAGTAAATTGACCCCATACTTTTCAGCTGCAAGAAATATTCCAGATGCACAGTCTGCCTTGAACTCTGGTTCACAGGAATCTAAGAAATACAGCAACTCCTTCATCATTCCACGGACATTGTTCCCATTAACAAGAGCAAAACTCAGTTCCATTGCACGCCTAGGGCAAGAGACAGAAAACCAATAAAGTATCTTCTAGTAAAGTAAAAAAAAAAAAGGAAAAAAACCACAAACCACCACACCACCAACCCCAAAACAAAACCCAAGTCCAGCTACTCAAATGCACTTACCTTTTAGTTAAGAAGAGAGCAATATTTATTAATCCTGCGAGAACAGCATTCCACATTAAATGTACCAGTATTTTCCTGTTAATGGGCAGACAGTAAATACCCACCACCAAAAAAACTAAGGGGGAGTGGGGATGTTCTAGAAACACTTATCCAGATGTCCTAAAGGCTAGAAATATCTTTCAGCAACCAGAGTCCATCAGCATTAAGGTCTGACTATCCAAGTATTTGTAATTGCATGCTGGTCATTTCTGACACACAACTGCAATAAGTAATCCATGCTACAACACGCTTTCTCCAGCTTCACGGATCTAGAAGAGACCTGCTTCAATCTCCATATATTAGAGATTCAAATACAGTAGAGATTTAAAATATTAACTGATAATCATTATCGTATCCTGTCAGATAGACTACGTAAGATTTCTAGAACACAAAATTACCCTGGTGGTGTTTTCAGAACCCACTCGTCACCCCCAACAAGTTGACACCACAACTAGACAGAGTACATTGACAGGTCAGAGGCTAGTCCTTAGCCCTTCTACTTGAAGCTTCTGCAGTTCATTCTAGCACAGCTCTCCCATTCTTCTGACATTTTTTGAATGAAGACTACTATCTTCAAATACAACTGATTTCTGTACAACATTGGCAATTAGTAATGTTAAAATGCATTAAAACAATGCATTAAAACAGCCTCACTAAACCACCTTGACTATTCTTTAAAATTGAGTGTTTGGTGTAATCCAGAACCCAAACCTTCAAGTTGTGTCCTCTTCATACTATCAGGAACTTTATTCTCTGCCTGTCACTGACATAGCCTACTAGAAGACAAGAAAGATCCTCATAGCACATAACAAACTTCCTCCTCCATTTCAGTTATCTTTTGAAATCATCTGGATAGTTGCTGAACTACTTCAAGTGTACAGTGATTTTGTACTGCTTGCTGTGCAACAGATTATGTCCAAAATTATGCCAGAAGGCCTAAAGTCTATTTTGTAATATATACTTTCTTCAAATTGATAAGACTTCAATGTGTCTTTAACTCCAGCAATTTTCATTAAAATCATAACATTGAGATGCATGAGTTATGCTGTCATCCTTTCATGTATTTACTGGCAACAAACCCATGAGCAGTCCCACTGATAATGTCTTGCTCCAGTGTCAAGCCTGCTAACCTATCACTACATGGACACAGTTATTTTTTCTGATCACTTAGTATTTTCCCAATATTCATGAAACAACAACTTAGACCAGGCACATTACCCAACCCAATGGTATTGGGCACAAGCTATTTGTTCTCAAGAACCTGAAAACATCTAGACAGCACTGCTTCTCAACATCTCCCTAGTTACTATTGTAATAAGAAGGATTTCTACAGAATTGTGAACTGTAAATGCGCTATTTTGCTTTTTACCCAACTAATACCCAGGGACCTAGAAAACACAGAGGTGTTCAGAATTAGGGTGGAAATACATAACTAAATTGTTACCTTTTATCATCTAGATCTGTGGCTGGTTGAAGACCTATACCATTATTAGAGTTGTTTTCATCCCTCCGATTAGTTCCCAACTCCTTACACCTAACCCTACTGGGTTACAAGTTTTCCATGTTTACGTTTAACTTTTCAGTCACATTATAGCAGATATATCAATACTGCAGGTACACAGAGGTACTCTGCAATCTTAACACCAGGCATTTATCTCAACACATATTGCTTACCTTCAATCATATTACTTGGCTCATTTCTGTCACAAAGTTCCTAATCACGTGGTTTAATTATGTCAAGCAGACAGACAAAAAGACTTGAATTAAATGGCAAAGCCATTCTGAATAATACTACATGGACCAAAGATGCGCTGCAATGGTTAAAAGACGATTAGAACAGGCCATGCTTCAGATAACCAACACCAGGTATCATGTCTTTCCCTCAAGTCCCAGTGCTTGAAACCTGCTACCTGGGGACTCTGACATCCAGTCAATATATTGCTTCAATGAAGACAGTGCATTGTCAGCAGCACGAGTGTCAGCACGGCAACATCATGCTCTGCTGATGGATCACTCAAAGGCTTCATCCTCCAACAGCACTCAGACATGAAGCTCTGTCATTTGTACCATACCTATGTTTTCCTAGCAGGCACCAATAAAGTGCTTTTGTTGCCTCCTATCCTAGCCCAATAGATGGGGCTTTGCTATTCCACAACCTAGCCTCAGGCTGGCTCTGGCAACAAACTGCAACAGCAGCCTGACTTGCTCAGCATATAAGATATAAATTTGTGTCTTGGGATAGATTGCAACTGTAAAAATAGATTACATGATACCTATTATATCTAAGTTGATAACCCAACTAAGTTTCAGAAGCGAGACAGATCCAATTTCTTTCCTATTCTGTACATATTAAACTGAACAGTGCTGTTAAAAATCTAGATCTGATTCAAAGATGGGCATAAATTTGGAGAATGCCTATCAGAATGAGTATCTAAGATGTATCTAATCAGTTTGACAACATGGAAAAAAGAGGTTGAGCAATTTTGAAAGTGTATTCATAATGTGATGAGAGCTCAATGAAATTTTTGCCTGCAGCAGACAGATTCCACAAGAAGCAACAGGGATGCAACTGTGACTATCACTGACACGTTGTATGCTGCACTGAGCTCCAACCACCAGTTATAGAAAGAATAACAATAAGGAAGAGAGTTCTGAAAGAAAGAGCAAGCAACTGACAGGCTGAAAGACTCAATTTAGAAGAGCAGTATTCCATATAGGTTGGGCAAAAGTGAGATCAAACAATTCAAGAGTATCTATGAGTGTCTGACAGAAACAGGAGAAAGTTACTATGAGTAAAAGGAACATAAGTAATGAGAAGAAACAGAGGAAGAATTTTAGACTGAGTATCAGAAAAAAGTCTTCCTGTAGTGAGAAATAAGGTTGCAAGCTCTCCCATTGCCCAGAGAAGTAGCAACATACCGCTACTTAAATGACAAATGAACACCAAAGAATGCATAACAGGACGTGGTTTGTAAGCAAGTTATTTGAACAATCAAGTAAGTCTGAATTCTACCACTGCCTAATCAAATTTAATCTAGAATACATTATTTGAATGGCTTAACACTGCTTCAAGACAACATAGCACTGCCTGTTCACCTGGGAAAGAAAAGCAATAGAGCATGTCAGAGTAGCTTTGATTAGGATCATACTTTATGGAGGCTTTCCATCTTGTTGCGAGCACACAATCTGATCTCCGTTCACTCCATTTTGGAAAAATTCAGGCAAACAAAAATATTTTTTTCCAATCCAAGATGCATAAAATGTAAAAGCAGCTTCCCAAAGAAGGTGGCTGCACATCTTCATTACCTTCTTTGAAGTATGAACCATACTATGCATTAATACTACTCTCACTTACAGTTCCCCAAGATTATTGTCATTCTCCCCTGTGCCCTGCTCACTTCCCATAGGCTGTCAACCTTGATAGTCTATTTCATTGATATTTCAATTACCTTTTAATGGAGACATCCAGATCCTTCAGGCAGTCCACAATCGTGCTTCTATGCCGCTGTACTGCATTATGGTCTGTCTGCACAGTTTTCAACAATGATGTCAAAGCTACATATCTGGGATAAGGACATATAGTAACAAATAATTGACAGTAGGCATTTAATTTCTATGCACAGACACTCACACACACACACACCCCTCCCCCCAAAACTTAGACTTATTTTGCAACAGAACAGTTGTTGTTCCTTGTACTCAGTAACAAATGGAAATCTTCCAGGGGAGTGCCTTGCCTATCTTCAAAGGTGAGTTACCATACTAAACTGTAGCATGCCTAACAACATCCTGCTGCCCGAACAAGCACCTGTCCCAATTCCTGGGCTCATGTCAGTTGTCCAGTCTTCACAAGGATTTTGAAAAGACAAGACAATTAAAGATTAGACCTCTGGAGATCGTACACTCAAACTAGTGTGACTTGCAATTCTCAAGGCTGGAGTCTTCTACCCATATCATGATTTGCAATCAAAATGCCTAGAGATGGGACTTAATTTTAGCAGTTGCAGCAATTCCATGTTCAGATTCATAGTGACCAAAGCACAACTTCTGTGTTGCCAACAGCACGCAGTTACTATCATGAGTAAAAGGAACATAACTGAAGTAATGAGAGGAAACAGAGGAAGAAGTTTAGACTGAAAAACCACAGTCTTTGCCTAATTTGTCAGATCTCCAATGCCAACTCTGATTTGAATGTCCACAGACCAGTTGGGACAAGACAGGAGATTCACAGGTTATCAGAAAAAACACTTGACTAGATTAAGAAATCACATGTTGAGAATTAGATCATATACCCAGACTCATCAACTAAGAAGGGCAGGGCCACAGTTAAGATTTTCACACAGAAAAGAACGCACCAAGAAAGAAGAAAGCTAGACAGTCTTACTAACTCCAACAACAATACTTCCCAGTATGGTCTCCTGGAAAGCTCTACCTCAGCATAATCTTTGTGTAATAGCTTCTTACACATTTTAAACTGGGTGTTGCCAAAACACACTTCATATAACTTACCTAATATTTTTGTCGTTGTTTAATAAGAAACGGCCTAGGATGTTAATGGCTAACACCTGCAGAAAGAGTTAGGGAAGGTCAGTGATCAAAAAAGGCTGCTGGTCATCTTCATTGTTTCAAGATGATTTTAAAGGCAACGTGTCAAAGCTACCATTGCAGTTCTTGGCCAAAAGCATAACATAAAGAACTCTAGAAGCTGACTAAGCAGAGGAAAAGCTAAGAGAAACACTGCACAGGCTCTCTCCTGCACTCAAGGGAACACAGTCAACAGGCAGTTTTGCTTTTTTATTTTTTAAAAAACACAAACACCAGCTACTGAAGAGGCTACAGTCTTACCCAGAGCCAGCAGAGCTATGTTTGGGTGAAACAACTTTTCTTCATGTTCTCTACACAAATTACTCTAATACAGGCCTAGGGAAAAAAAAAGGCCATAGCAGAGGCAACTTACTCGCAGTCCACTCTCAGATTTTATGTCCATAATAGTCAGCACAGTTTCATAGAGAATGGCATTTCCCACGTTTTTACTTGTTTCTGTATTAGTGGCAACCTGCAGAAAAGAAACAAAATAAGTGACTCCAATGCATCCAAAACAGACCCCCTTTGTGCTGCTCTGCAGAACAGGCAGTGAAACTAACCAATCCCTAGCAAACAAGCATCACACCTATGAACATGTGTCTCTTGCAGCAAAATTCAACCCAGAATAGTAACCAGCTGTATCCTCACCAGTGCTGCTGAATCCAAATTATTAAGAAACCAAAAGAGAAAGTTTACACTGTCATCAACCTTGCAGACCTCACCTGTGCAAGTATATCATTCATTGCTTCACTAGAATCATCATCATTTCGCCCTAGAATTCTTAGTAACCGCAGGATTCGTACCTATTTGACAAAATAAAGCAAAGAAAATCTCATTGGATGGCAGTGTTTCACATGGAGGCCATGAAATGCCCAGTACACTTCCTTAGGAGTGGCAAAGAAGCAAAACAAGCTGCTGATTTCCATTCCTAAGCAAAATACTTATCCTTAATAAGACCTTTACCAACAAGAACAGGCTTATGCTGTGCTCATTTTCTTCCCACTAGCCAGAACTGTTAAGAATACCCCCATTACCCACTAGGCACAGCCTTGCAAGACCAACACATGTTGCTGCTTCTCCCTTTTGTCACAACTTCACATAATATGACAAAGTACTACAACTGCTGTTTAAACTAAGGCAGGTGTCTTTCACTACGGTAGATAAAGAGCATTTTCACACTCAGCTCTAACAAAGACACAAAATCTTAAAATCAACACAGCTGCCCTCACGTAACCATCTCATCATACCTAAGTCTCAAAACACAGTACTAGAATTAAAGCTATCAATCATTGTTTGCATCAGTTCTCACCTGCAAAAAGGGGTCACTGATCCCAGACACATCATGCTCTGGTGAATACCCAGACATAATAAGGTTCTTCAGAATACGAACTAATTGGGGAACAAGCTGTGAAGAAGAGAGTTGTCCCATTAGGGTGTTGTTCCTTTGCCCACCCCCCCCACACCCCCCCCAGCTTTGAAGTACAGCTCCAAGAACAAATCTTGTATTTGAAAGCAAGTAAGTCTATGGATTCTTCCACAAAGTTCAACCTGCACATCTACAGCTAATTTTATATTAATACCTACAGCTTAGCTAGGGCAGAACTAGAAACAGTTAAGCTGGGACCTGAGCACCATATTGTATCTTTAAAGTACTAAATCTACCAGAGCTTGGCAGTTGAGACCTGAGAGGAAATGCCAACTTAAATTCCTCTCTTTGTGAAAAGGGGATGTGCTGGGACTATTAAAATGGTTAATTCCAGGACTTCGCTTGGGAGTTTTACATTAGCTCCTGACTCATTTTTAGCATACATCTCCATGGAAGCATCAGGCATAGCCAAGCATTTTGATCTTTTCAAGTACTGTACTGCTATGATTAGAGTAAATTATTAAGAATTCCTTCAAGTTTGACACTCCATCCAACTTAGCTTCTAGAAAGAAAAGCTTTGTGATCTGCTTCCCCTCCAAGACTTTCCAAATAGGGCAGAGAATGAGTTTCACTCCAGCCTTCCCCCAGGGCTCTATGGTTAGACGACTACTTCCCTGCTCCAGGGTCTATTCTCCTCCTCTTCATCCCAAACTTCTCGGCAAGAGCAGCAACACTAAACTGACCGAACTCTTTGCTTCACTGCTGTCAGAAGGGTTCTGCATAATAGCAGAGAAACTGATGGAAGCACTGCTACTATGCCAGATTCAGGAGCACAAAATCATATCAACTTACACTGTTCATATTTTAAAGTTTCTTTCCAACTGTGTGGGCTAAAAAACTTTCAGAAGCAGTTCAGATTCCTCAGATGTTGGTGGCACTGGTCTCCCAGTAGACATCTACCCATAGGAATACGTTATCTTTCAAGACTTGTACACAGCTTTGAAGAAATGCTACCTATTTGCAAAAGTTTGGTTCAACTCCCTCCATCTTAGGCATCTCTAGCGATGCACTTCATCTGTCAGGGCAGCTCTGAGGAACCGTAATAGAATTTCTCCATAGTATCTCACACATGCCAAGCGAGTAATCAGTTTAGGACAGAACGTGGCAAATAAGCCAATCATTAAAGCAGACAAGCTATAACAAACCTACTATTTATATCCAAAAACCTTCCTAGCAGCTATAAGTAACAAAATAGTCTTCAGGGATGAAATGGAAGCTCACTTCCAACACATCCTATGAAAAATCTTAAGGTTGAAAGACAGAAATTGGACTAATTTTCATTGAACTGTAAGAGAAAAAACACTCCTGGTGGATGACGTAGAGATGTAGATCTCTACAACCTTTATTCCTTCCATAGAAAGTTTCTTCTATTCCTGTCGGTGCTGGTATTATTAAAATAATTCAGACACTGTCTGGAGATGAGGTGACAAACTAGACAGAGGTGTTACAGTGGCTGCACTAAGTGGATTTTTCACTCCTGAAGCATGGCTAGCACCAGGACAGCATCATTCTTTCTCTCAACTCCATGTATGACAATTACAGTTTATCAAAACGTTCTCTACAAAACCCTTCCCAATGATTCACCCTTAAGACTTAAATTTTCCCGTCCTTGAGATGGGCTGCTCCTGCATTCATTTATGCCTACTATGAGTCAGGGATTGCATTCACACTAAATTTTTACCAGATCAGAGATTGCTTATAATGAAGTTGCCACTTCTGACAACATCAAATCAAGATGGTACTTCAGATTCAGGATAGATAGTAGCAGAAGGTGCCAAAGCACAGCGTGACTTACAGAGCACAACATCTGCATGTGGACATACTAAATGGGCAATGTTTTCTGGAGTAAAGTCCTGTACATTTGTGGTACAGTACAAGAAGAAAATCAGCTGAGTTTCCCCATCGTCTCTTTTTATTCCTACCTTCGCTCTTCAGGAATTACGTACTCCTCTGAAAACACGCATTTCATAAAATACACAAACAAAAGGAACTATGAATTTCCTATTATCTGCCTTAAAGAGGAAACCGAAGAATGTTGCAACGTCTTCCCTCAAGACAGAGTAACAGGCAAGTGGAGTGACCTGCTGGAGCATTCCTGGAACCCTGATTAACATTTTCTTTGCCTTCTAACATGCAAGAGTTATCAGGACTGAGGACAGGACAAACAAAGGGAAACATTGCAGCCATGGAGATTGGTTGGGGGCCACCCCCTCAATCTTCTGGAGTCAAATTACACCCACGAAAAATATCAGCAATGCAACTGTACTCAGTAGCTCTTTGCAGCACGGTAAGCCCACTTACAGGCAGCTAAGTAATTGCCTCTCCTGGTCCCTTTTGGGAATCACCCAAAGTTGCCCCATGATTCAGGCAAAACACAAAGCCCAATTTGTGATAAGAAGAAAGCCCAGGGCTACAGTATGCAAATGTACAAAAAAGTTCCCTAAAGTATTCCTCAAATGAGAGAAAGCTTGAGGAAAGCAGGCTCGTGTTTGGAGAAGGCTACAACTGAGATTCAGGGCTGTCATGGGTATAGAAGTTTAGTGACAAGACCAACACACAAAAAGCATTAGACAAGTACAGTTGATCTAAGCATGTGGCATCAATCACAAATGTGGCATTAAGAGGCACTGCCTCACAAGAGACAAACATCTACAGATTCAATGCAGGCATTGCAAAGGAGAATTAACTCTTACCTTTTCATTCTAACACACAGCAGGATTCCAAACAGACAAAAGGGACAAAACAGACAAAGCAGGCATTAGGGACAGATCAATGTTATACCATTCACAGCATAAACAACTACAAGAGATAGCTAGAAAAGAATGTACCTAGTACCTAAATTTTGTGGACTTAGCTCTTCTCTCTTTTCCCACAACTATCGTCTTAACTAAGCAATTAGTAGCAGGGATGGCTTCCTTCAAGATGACCCTAGTCCCACTTTCATTCCTTCTTTGACATATACAATCAGGGCAAAGGAAAATGCATGCCAAAACACTAAGATGCATCAGAGGATGTACTGCTTGAAATCCCTAATGATATGGACAAGCCAAGGAAGAACAGTAAACTGGGCATGCCGATAAATAAGCACCTTTAAGATTTTTCAGAGGAACAAATGGCCAGTTCTGTTCTACCAGGTTTGTTCAATTTCTCCTTCTTTGACCAAGAAGTCAGAATGACATAATCAATGCAATTTTCAGATACCCTTCTATTGGTAGTCTTTCATATGGCAATACCACCACACAGCAAATCACAGCAAACAGCATAAGGAAGTTTGTGCTGGGGGGGGGAAGCGGGGAGAGAAGCAGCAAACATTCCTAACCAGAAGAGGAAGAGTGACATTGACTCTCAAACCCTTAAGTTAAAATGGAAAACGATATAATTGGTATTTTTGACCTGAGTTTATAAAATTATGGGGCTGTGGTTAAGGCATGTTGGTATAAGCCTCAGTTTTTCATCTTTGCCTCTTTGTTTAATACATTCGTGATTCCAATGTCACTATGCAATTAGCTACAAAGAGTGGGGAAAAAACCCTAAGGGAACATCGAAGAGGACACTTTAAATCTAACTTTAGGATGAGTTTCATACTGTACAGTCTTAAGACTGATGTTTTGTAACTTACCCACTTATGGAAGGGGATTAGGGCTGGATACACACAAAATTCCCAAACAATGATTTTAAAAAAAAAATTTGATAATAAGCATCATTAAATTCTTCACCCAAATAGCTGTAAGGATTTTATTAAAAGACATGCACACTGCTTTCACTAGGAAGACTAAGAGGACACATCAGTAAAAAAAAAAACCACCACAAAAACACCCCAACCCATCACAAACAAAACTATGAATATTAACTCTGCAATATTATCAGTTCACACTTACCTTTCTAAAGTGTGCAAGCATGTCTGGGCTTCTCTCACACATCTCTGTGAGGAGGACAACTGATGTGTGAAGAACACCTAAAGGTGAGGGGGGGGGAGAAAAAAGTATCTACATTTAATATAATTTCATTGGCTCCAGACATGTGACAAAGATCATAAGGAAACAACAGGAGATCATTAAAAAAAATTCGTCTTGAATTCAACATATCTACCCCAAAATATATTTGCACTTGTAGCTGTGCCCAAGGGAAAGCAGATACCAATGTGCTCACGTCTTAAAGCTGCAACTAAAGACCAAAGGAGGAGAGAAATTAGACTGTCTGCAGAACCTTGAATACTAAACACAGTCAGATGGTAACAGACATAGTTGGACTAGATGATCTTTAAGGTCCCTTCCAACCCAAACCATTCTGTGATTCTATACAAACATAAGACTGTTGAAGGACAGTATCCATTAATTGCATTGTAGGTGTTGGGCTCCTCATGCTCCCTGATTTTCTCTTCTGATTTGGGTACCCTAGCCAACCTTATGTGACCTGAATTGGGCCTTCCTCAGAAGGTCTCAGAACTCAGTCTAGCGAAAGATTATAGTAGACTGCGTGGTCAAGCCAGTGTCTGCGCATTGGCAACCAGCTGCTGTGTGCCCTGCCTTAACAAAACCCAGTCAAAGCATCTCTGAAAATAGTTAGAAAAGGCATGTTAGTTACAAACCATTTAACTAGATGTCAATGCCAGATTACAAGGTTATATCTCACTAACAGGTTAAGCATGAAACTTCAACAATGAGCATTATTTTACATCCGCATCCAGCTGTAACACAGCAATCCTTCTCAGATGCTAACTTTTTCAGCTGTTCATTTTCTGTAGCTGTTAAGTCTGCACTGGAGAGCTCCTGACTCAGAAAGAGACTACAAACCTGCTTAATAAGTGTTTTCTACAGAGAAGATGGCATTTATATTCTACAAGCTATGCAGCTTTCTGACCTACTGCAGGTTCTATCTAAAAATCTGTTTTGAAGTACATAAATATCTATCTATAAAGCTTGTGTCACAGCTTTCTTAACACTGACACTGCTTACTTATCACTGAGACCTCCCAAGAGGCTGCTAAAAGGGTTTCATATATATGCTTCAGAGAGAGCTCAACACAAAGCCCATGGCTAAGACTGCTGGAAAGGAGATGATGATTTTTAAGGATGAGGAAAGCAGAAAAGATGATCCGGTTCTTGAATTCAGGTGAACCTAGACTCAATTCTCTGCTTGGCCAAGGCTTGAAGGGGAGTGTTCCCACCTTTAACGAGGGAACAGAACAGCTCTCATCTTTTCAGGGTTGCATAAGATAAAGACAGAGGATCTCACGCTACCAAGTTGGACCATGTAGGCATCACTTACTGACAAAGAGTCTTACAGACCATTGCCTATTTGAAGCAATGCCTGGTCTAAATGTTCTGATCATCACATTTTAAATCAAGGTAAACTAGCTGCACACACAGGAACTACATTCCACATGCAATCTGTCCTGTACCTCAAAGGTTTACAACACATGCAGCAAAAAAAAAAAAAAAAAAAAAGGAAACAATAGCTTCTCAGGAAGCTACTGTGGCCCGTTAGTACTGTTGGCGCTCACAACTACCCTGGCTTGAGACAGAACTTCTCCCTGTAATGGGTTTTCAGCACTGCAAACATCTACTGTAGAAATCCTAGTACACCCACCTATTTTCTTAAGGCACATGCTCATTGCAGATGTGCCACAGGACTAAGACTTTGGGAGGTGAGCACCAGGCTTGATACAAATTAGTCAAGGTGTTAATATTAGTATTTCTCTTTAAAAAAATTTCTAGAAGCAGTTGTGCAAGAAAAAGCATTAAAACAGAATAATCTCACAAAAGACCGTTAAAGTAAGAATCTGTTTTATGATGTAGTTCTGATGAAAAACAGCACTGAAGAAAGATTCTTTCCTGACAGTGATGTAGGTATCTCAGTCCTGGGAATGCCTGCTAAAATAATGTCAGAGAATCCTATACTGCTATGCTAACAGAAGACAAAAAAAAAAAACCTAAAAAGTGCACTTTACAGTCCTTTTAGGCAGTGTATTGGATAAAAATCACACACTTTCTCATTCTACCCACTCTGAAGTCTATCAAAAAATAGTGAAAGTGTTCCTTTTGTCACCTATGCCATGTAAAAGTCCTGCTGACTAGCAGTCATACACATCCCTTCCTTCTCAATGACATCTGCTTTCACTGCATAGAAATGGGAAGAAACATATCATACAAATAAACCTCGAGTTCCTCCCAAACAAAAGGCTTAGGTAGCAAGTGACCATCCTGTAAAGGATGGCATAGCCTTGCTAAGTAGAGTCTCAGATATTACCATGGTTCTTCTCATTCAGCAAGTTTTTGGTGGCTGGCAGGAACATCTCCATGAGTTCAGGCACCTTTCTAATGACATGAACAGCACACAATGCTGCCTGTATAGGAAAAACAGCTCTGTTAGTACATACTGTAATGACAACAATATATGCTTTGAGAACATCTAGCACAGTGGGAACTATCACAAATTTCATTATATACAAAGGCCTGGAAAGTTTGTGGCACATTTTCCCATCTCTCTATTACAAGTGATACTAGACAGCATCACAGAGAAGAGTTCAATAAAACTATGAGTGAGGAGGGGAAAAAAAGGCACTGAGCTACAAAGTAATACTTCCACTAGCAATGGTTCATTTTTACATTATTCACTTCAGAAACGATATGAACTGCAAAGCAGCTCTGCCTTTAACAGGGCTACTTCAGTCTGTCTTCCTGTTGCAAGGGAGGGGATAATGCATTGGAAGCAAATAATGAAATTTATGTCAAATTTATGGCTCATTTTCTTTCCCTTGAATATCATCTCCTTCCCCACAAAATAACTTCCTCCTGCAGCTGATGGATCCTATGAAAAACAAAAGTATACTGCAAAAAAATTGCCTACTTCTAGGTTGCAGAAGCAACAGGAGACACTATTCTTCGCAGCTGCTTGAGCATCAAGCACACTGTGGGCCTCTTCCCAGAACACAGCAATACCTCTTAGCATTGCTTTCTCCCCAGTCTCTCTCTAGATCCCGCACTAGACAAAGAAGTAACAATGCATCTCTTCCTAAATCTTACTGCTTCCCACCCTCCCCAAGACTTAACAATGAAATAAATTAAAAGAACAAGGGTGATTACACTTTGCAGATGCTATGACACACCTGCTATGTAAACAAGACAATTTATAATTGTTTGCCCATTTCTAGCCCTTAACCTTTCCATCTCACATTCTACTGTCATCATCATCAACAGAAGAGATCAAATACGTTCAAATCTTCAGATATCAGCCTGCACTGTTAATGATCAAAGTTTCTCTGGACTTATCTGAGAAGTTATAGAAATAAACCTGATGACTAGAAGTTTGGGGTTAATGTCTGTGAACAGGCAGGTGTTCACATTACCATCAATAACCTTAATGTAGAGAGTATCAAAATAGAAACAACTGCCTCACCTGTTGGAGGCTTGTCTTTTAGAGGCTTACACAC